AATCAACACCATTCAAAGCTTTCACTAATATATAGGTAAAGAGGGTCAGGTGACTATGAATGTTAGGACATGCATCAGATTGCATCCTGTGCATGCAGTCTGGAAATATGAATGACTAGCAATGTGAGAAAATATTTCAGGCATTTCTTTATTCAGCACATTGTTTTTACAGAACACCTGAAAAGTACAAATGGAGAAAACAGAGCAAATGCAGTGTCATCTTAAGGCAGTGTCCTCATTTGAAGTTTGGTGAAGTCCTGCATGTCTCTGGTGGCCTTTAGCTCCCAATTGTTTTGGTCCTGAATGAGCAATGTGCAGAGAAAATACCTGTGACCCTGTAAGATGGTTGGCTAAGTGAGATGCTGCCATATCTTATACTTCACTTTTGCAGGGTATTGATATTAGTAAAAGACCAAGTCAGAAACAAAACAAAGAAGAAAAGACAGCAAAGCAGCAGCAGCAACAATGACAACAACATACACAAACACACACACACGCACACACACTCACTTTTAGAGGATGAAAAGAAGCTATTATGTTTAGTCTTAACTCCTAGATAAAAAGAAAATTATAAAATTCAAAGCCACAAATAACCACACTTAGGATTGAATCAGAATTCATATTATCAGTATCTTAAAAATCTATAATGTGATATATTAAAGTTATCATAGTTTAAAATACCATCAGCTGCCTGCAAGAAGCAAGCACATACATTTATTGGGCTATATCTTAATTATAACTTATATTCAGCACATGTATTTAAATTTCTATAAAATATGGAAATAATTTTCATTTTTAGGAAATATTAGTTGTAAATAATCTTTACTTGCATAGAATATGAGTTTACAATGTAAGAAATTAAATCTCATAGGGACGTAAGTCACCAGGGAAGAGACTGAGTTATCTCCCCCTCATAAATTGTCAGGTAAAGGACAAAAACAACTGAGGTCAATACACACACAGACACAGACACAGACACACAACACTCACACACACACTCTCACACAGACACACACAGATGAATGAGCTACAGACTATAGATCTAGCTGAGAAGGTTTGATAAGGAGCTGAAGAAACCTGTAGGAGTTTAAGTATGGTACTGAAAATATAATTACTAAACTACAAAGAACATTCCAGGAAAAACAGAGGTAAAGAAGAAAGGTGAAAGATGGAACCCTCAAGAATGTATTGGGTTTTAGTAGAAATAAAAATCTGACTTTTCTAGCCAAGAAACTAAGTAGAGAGTGGGGGAAATACATTAGAAGAGGTGGTGAGCTCTGCTTCATGAACACCTGATTCCCTGTCAGGTGTAGGGAAAGGGGTGGAAATGAACAGTACGGATGATAAGTAAGAAACGGTGAGAGACCGGGGTGATGGACAGCAAGGTGTGGGGGCTGCCTTGGCTTTGCTTGGCTTCATCTTCAAGTTTTGGCATTGTGAACATAGAAAAGAATCATGATACAAATGCAGAAAGGAATTAATATGTCCATAGTATTCAAAATGGGGGCAAATGATGACATTTTCCCTAACAGAGGAAGCCAGCTTTTAAACGATTGTATAATAGAATTACAGCACAATTTTATTAGTGAGTGTTTTGGCATGAGTTATTAGTGGATACTTAATTGTCATTCAAAAAGACACTTTTGGATTAATTTATTTATATGTTAGAGTGTCAGCCAGAGATTGATAGCAAACAAAAATGGGTCCTTTTAGAAGGAAGGCTTGTCAGTTATACTAATCAAATGGTCAAATTTAGCAACAGCCTTTGAAGTGATTTAGTGGGATGATGCAGTGCTACTGTCAAAATTTAATTTAATTTTAGGGTAATCACAGGAAAATAACTAGAATGCAGATTGCTTTTAGGGGTATTCTCTCAAGGCCTGGGAGAGTTCTCCCTGAGTAAAGTGGAAGACCTGAGTTAGGGCTCACAGTGTCCACTTAAAGGCTGGGTACATTAGTGCCCTCTAAATGCTGGATGCTCAATGGCCAGTTGGTCTAGCTGAAATGACAAACTTCAGGTTCAGTGAGCAATTTCATCTCAGGTAGGTAGGTAGGTAGCTAGGTAGGTAGAATGGAGAATCTATAAATATGATTATTATTTGTGGCCCTCACATGTGCTCACATGGCCAAATGCACTTATACATATCTGTGCACTCCTCTACACACAAATTAAGAAAAGTTCATATTCTACCCAAATGATTAAACTAGTTGACGGAACACTCTAGGTCATTGCTGCGTAGCGGGATGACTATGCAAGGTGCAAATGTAATTTAAAGCTTCAACGACCGTGTTACAAAATCTGTAAAATTAACTTCAAAGTTATAATTTAATATCACATGCAGACATTATTTAAACATGTAGCTAAGTTAAGACTAGCAATTAGGATGTCTTTATCATGAATCTTAGAAACCCAGAATGTATTCAATGCTCATAGTATATCTCAATATAAAGCAGCACAGGGGGTATGGTGTAGTCATGTGCTCTTGAGTATCATTACGGACAGGGTTGCTCCAGATGAGAGGTGATCTAAGAGGCATATGTGATGCTCAACTGTGGACAACGGGGAAAACTTGGAAAATATCTCTTTGAGATTATTAGTAGATTTGAATACAGGTAGTATGTTAAATAACTTTGTATCAAATGCCTACTTAAGGAATATTTGTTACTGTGTGGGGCTGAGCACACCTTTAATCTCAGCCCTTGGAGGTAGAGGCAGGCATACATATCTATGTGAATTCGAGACCAGCATGGCCTACATATCCAACTCAACCATGATTAATAAAAGAACACTGACTAAAAAATACATAAATAAAAATATTTTTGAGTGTGTATTATATGTCCTTGTTTTTAGGAATTACATAATAAAGTAGATATGGATAAAATATCAAATCATAAACTACTTTTTACTGATTCTTAAAATGAATTTATATAAATATGTTCACACAAATGTCAGCATGGTTATTTTATTTTCTTGAAAACTAAACAAGAACACTTTATAAGATAGCTATAAGACAGTATTCCTAATGATTTTAATTATATATTATTTTTAGGAAAATATAGAATATTGTGAAAAATTGACTGTACATTGATCTGTATAGTAAAAACCAACACATTTCAGAGATCTAGAATTATATAAAATCTGTTCTTTAATCTGTTCTCTAGCTGTGAAGTTATACTAGGAAACAGGACAATGATAATTTAGAATTCCAGAATTTAGAAGTGAAATATTTATGGAAGATATGAAGTATAGACTAGAGGGTATCATGGTTGAGGGTGGGAATCTGAGGAAGCTTGTAAGATTCCAGACTGTGCATAGCAAGGGCCTGCAGGAGACAATATCAAGTGGATGGGGGTGGCAGTATTTGATGAATAATTGTATAAGGAAGGGACTGAAAGGGGAGTGATTTGTGATGCTTTCCCAGATGGAAAGTACTATTGTTAATTCTGAAAGAGTCATGCTGATTGAAATGGAGATAGCTGGTTACTCAAAATTGGAACTCAAGTATTGGCAAATGCAAGATACAGAAACCTGTGTGCCAAACACACGTAAGCAACAAATATAACCACAGTAGTTGGATCAAATCACTGAAGTAGAGAGTTAGGAAATTGTCAAGGAGAGAAAGAGTATGTGGAGGAACATCACCAATAGCAAGTATACAGCTTGAGGGAGCCAGGTGAGAAGACATCGGAACAAAGGATGCTGACTGGATAGGGGCTGACTTCATGTGTCCTGAGAGGGGAACAGGGTAAACCCCACTGGCCCTTCTTGTGTCCTATGTACCTCCTACTTGATTTTATTGTAAATTCCACAGCGGTCTTCAGGACTCCTCCACCGTCATTTCTGGCATCCCCATCTCCTTTCTACTAATTATTTTAATCAAATGATTTATAATTCATGTTATAAAACTGAAATCCTAAGGTTTTCTAACACTGGTTAAAAAACAAGATTTTACATAAAGAGATGGTTACAAGCTCAGATGTATTATACTGTCGGTAGTGGCCAGGAAGCCCATTGCCCATCTTAGGGGAGTCTAATCAGATACTCCAGCAGTTTGTCATGCTTAATTGCCATCTGGCCCCTCTTTTAATTCTTTACTGAATTGCAGGGGTAAAAATGTCATGTATTCTGAAGTTTGAAAGCAGTCTTATATGAGTTGGTTAAAAGATACTACAAAGAACTTTCACTGTCCAACTTCTGTGGGTTACGAACAGTAAGTAATTCTGGGGACTGCTGCTCCCCTTCCTGTATAAACACAGTACTCTGCGAAAAGCCACCATGCTGGTGATTCACTCTGGAGGTAATTCATAGGCCAATTCTAGCGACTCAGTACTCCTGGAACACTATCAGAATAATATTAGCATTTTGTTATCTCCTCTAACCTAATATTCTGTGTCATAATTCATTCCAGTGCATTCAATTCTATATTGATATTAAGACTCCAAAGCCATGTATATCTATATATGGTTTCCTAAATAATAGGTTTTATGATGTATGGACTATATGCCACTGTATCTTTTAATATATCTAAGCTGAGAAATGAAAAGTGCTTGGTAGGTAACCAACTTATTATTTTTCTCTTAAGCCTAACCCTAGTAAATGAGAAGATTTTTTTCTGTTAATTAATGACTTGCTAACTTATTTTAAAACAACAGAACCTCCTGTATAAACTAAGCTTTATGATAATAATTATAATAATGGTGATATGCACAGAAGTCTTTTGTATGCCTGGTCATGGCTGAGATTTCTTTATTTTTTATATATGCTGATCGTTTACAGTTTACTTCCTAGCCCTAAATTTTTGTAATTATAGAAGGTCAGAGTAACAGGGTAAGGAAAAACTGTTCAAATGTGTTTTATGAGTAGCTTTGTGTTAGTAATTCTTGAATAATATAGCATTCCTATTTTCTTTAAAAAAAAGTCTGAAATTTGCAATTCAATTGAAAAGTACATTTTTGGAAACTATAGTAGTTTACAATCAAAGTTCTTTTGTTAATTCTAGAAACAGTTAAACTGGGTAAAATAATGAACGATATTGAATCCGTGAGTAAGAGAATGGAGAAAGAGAAGGAGATGCATCTCGAGAAGTCCAGGTACTGTGGGATTATCTAACCTAGGGAATGCAGAGAGAGACAGAGAGAGAGAGAGAGAGAGAGAGAGAGAGAGAGAGACAGAGACAGAGCGAGAGAGAGA